AAACGCTTCTTTATCTGAGTATAGCAAATCGTTCCTGAATGCATAATCAACAAGATATTTCCTCAACTTTTTACTTTTGAGTAACCAATGACGATTATCGTTCGTAACCAGTTTTTTGAAAGCAATGGCATTAATATACAGGCCTGCGCAAATCCTATTTATCTCTAATTACCCATGACTTGATAATCTAATTCAGAAAATCTTTTATTTTCTTTTGTATTTTCCGGCATCATCCATCTAATATTTTTCGAATCTTCTATGGGTATAATCGTCATTTTCTATTCAGAATGTAAGTGATCAAGTGAAAATTTTTCCTTGCTTTGGTGAAATATTGAGATTCAGATGGAAAACATTGATACTGGTGATTTCTAATTTAAAATTTAAATTTTTAAATTTCTTCAAATTTGCGTTTTACATTTCTGTTCATTGTTAATCCGCTATCAGGTAGGTCATGGCAAATTGCTACAATAAAGCGCACGCATAAGACGGCATGACAGGAGTCTCACACATTTTGACATGATCATTATTTACTCGTTTGCAAGTCATGAAATCGAAACCTGGACCATCAAGGACTCAGGATGCAAATTCGTTTAAGCGTTTGGAACGCAATTGCTACAAACGACTGCAGCTCTATATCTCTTAAATGAAACTGAAAACTAATGAGTCGAAGTTGCAGCATTTTGACGTCGCTCACTGCTCGTTTCTGAAAAGTATCATACAATTATTTTAGTCGTGTTATGAGAATGAATGAGGATCGTTTAGATAACATGGTACCGCAAGGTACAACCTCAGGATTGAGACTGATTTGAAGATCAAAGCCACACTGGGAGGACGAAATCATGCAGTTGACACTGCTCAATATTATTTACGCTCTAGGAATGGCTTAAGGTGTTCGCGCGGATAAGCTGCGTGGGGTCGGATAATGCATCATACCGTGCATGTTTCAAACAGAGGAACGCATTCAGCCTTATGACTGATTTTGATAAAAATTAATACATACAGCGACCCAAAAATTTTCCACCACGGAAGTACTTCTTCGGAGCGTCGCCGTGGTCCAAGTCGAACGGCACGCACAAGACTCACGGCCATTTTTGAGTGTAACTTCCATTTCATTCGATATGATTATGAATTTCAGAGAAGGATACGTGGTTTTTCACGATAATTTCAACATTGGTTTCTGCTGTGTGAGCTGCAAGTTTTTTACGTGCTACACTACTTAAGATATCAAATTAAATTTAAAACAGCTTATTATATAAGTGATCCGCGACAAGTTCTTTTTTGGTTGGTCTGATTACAATATTTTAATTTCTGACTAAGTTCATTTGAAGACAGAATAAATGGTGGGAGCCCTGTTTCTACTAATCCCACATAAAAGGGATGTCGGCAATCCTTTCATAATCATCTACATAATCATAATCATCATCCTTCGTTGTTTGCATTATGCCAGCCATGCATCATGCCAGCGACCTGGTATCCCTGTTCTATACTGGGTGCGCCTGTTCGACAAAGCTGCCTGGTTCATGTATCTGTGGTCTGTCTCGTGGTCGCCACCAGGATGGCGACAAATAATCTTTTCTCTGAACGTCATCGCGAGGGCACAGTTCGCCTGTGTTATTAATTACGCCATTGACTGTAAAATTATGCGCGTAGGAATGCATATACAAGAGTATAAAAGAGAAAACACCGCAGCCTCGAAAGTTGATAGGTTCGTACCTAAGGCAAATAACGGGTTTTGCTAATCATCGATGGATCTTGCAGTGTTCAAATGAAACAGTAAATCGTCCCATAAGTTGACAATATATGACAATAAGTTATAGACTCTGTTATCATGCATATGATCAACGATTTCGCACGCTGGCCCAACATGACGCTACGGCCAACTGAACAAGCAGCGATGGACTTTCCATGATGCCATCGCTCTGAAGACCTGAGAAGTAGTGAACTTAGCGAAGCGCCCGCAAGACGAGTTTCGTTCGTGAGTTAGTGAATCCGTTACTAACTGGGAGATACCCAGTGGGAACAAAATATAAACTTGAAATGAAAGTTCATTGGTCGGAAACAAACGGCGCGCATTACCAGTGACAACAACCTCTACCGCAAAATAAAACAGCCATAATCGGTTTGATAGCGAAAAGCATTTACGCTTATTCGGAAGTACCTTGTTTTTCAAGCATGTCGTACGTTAAATCTGAGAAATGAATAAAACAGTAGTGTACAGTTTGGCAGTTGAGGTAAATTCACTAAATTCAAACTATCGTGCCTGTTCTTCATCCCATTTCAAACGTTTTTTCCTAGGGCTTCAGAAGGGAACGCAGCAATTCGTGGCGGTTTTTTTAGAAGCTCGCCAAACTCAAACTTCTCTATCGTCTTTTGACTGTCTTCGCATTCAGCGTGAAACTAAAGCCATGATTACAAAAGTACTGTTCTATAGTTTGAGTTTAAATAATCAATAAATTATTTTACTTCGACATTGAGCAGTGAGAGACTAGGAGAATAGTTATCAGGGATTATTGGCCATGACTAACAAATACTTGATAGAGCAATAAGGTACAGCACAGTTCAATGTGAATTCGCTGAATGAAGATCAAGGCTACAGTACAGGTGCTTGCGAGGTTGTAACAACAGCTGAAGGAGCACTGGTGTCGTAATGGGTCTCGCAACGTCTTGCGTTTCTGACCAGTCGCTCGATGCAATGCGACTGTTGCTACGACCCGTTCGACTCGATCCCACGGAAATGTCGCCATGCATATGTCAACGAGCGCCTACCGAGTGGCTGACGCGTCTGTTACAGTTGAAACGCAAATGTCACAAATTCGCGACTCCGCCATCGGTCATGCGCATCCTTTTTTGACTAATAAATGCGAAATATCTGAACGTAACAAATGACCAGTTACGCCTTCCCCCTGCGGTATTAAACTAATTATGCATTGCAATTTCCGGATACGACTAGCCATAAATCCAACCTCATGTCCGCGTCGTGGTGAGCGTGGCACGATCAAAGTACGGGACAGCCTTCAAAGTGAACTATGCCGGTCCATGTTTCCAGCCGGCTATGGTAACTGCTAAAGTTTGCCATATTTCCTGAACTGGTAAGCCAATGGGGCACTTATATCCGACATTGATTGTTTATAATATGTTTGAGGCAAATCTGTCTAGACGAACGATACACTCCTAAAATTGGGACACTGAAACTGAGGAGTACATGTTTCTTGAGATCAGCATTTCGGGCCTTTTGCAAAAGCTGAACTACTCATTTTCGTGATTCCTGTTGCAATCGCAGCTCTTCAACACTTTGGCTATAAGGCAACAACTATTGCATCTTAGAAAGAGATATTCCTCACAGGAAGCAGGATTTGCCTCTTCTTTGATCATTAGTGTTGTACGTCGACGTCTGCTGTGTTTCGGCTCCGACACGAGAAGTTCGCGGACTGGAGTACATCGAACGGGCCCACCTCCGTTTCTTAATTTTTACATTTACAGAGGTCGTCAGTGCCCGGAAGAGGATGAAG